GCGATTTAATACAAAATGTTGATTGAAAATACTAATTTGATAGACAATTAACTAATCTTTTGATATATTTAAAAAAAAAAAAAACTAAAAGAAGAATTTAAGGGCATCATCAAAATTCTATCAACCCTATAAAAAGCAAAATGGGAAGATGTAGGAGTCTTGGGTACAGATTCCTTTAGGGATGGCAAGAAAAAGCAGGCCTTAGAAACCTATGAAAATATGAAAATGCATTGTGACGTTTGTGTTGCAATATCAGAATTGGATTCTCATTTCCCTCCATCGGTTCCAATTAATTGGAAAAGTGTGAATCATATCCTTTATTTTCTTCCATATACAAATATTCCGAGTCAAACGTACGTAATCCAACTACCAAAACTAATTTTCTCTGTAATTCATGTGCATGCATCAAAATATATTTGTACTGAAATCCGTTCCTTGATCCCCCTTGTCTTAGGAACATTAAAAACATGATAAAAAGTATATATAAGAATATAAAATTTATCAAATTTTTAAAAAATATAAATTTTATCATTTTTTATTCTAGAATATAATTTTTTTAAATTTCTTAATCAAGCAATAAACTTCTAGTTTTTTTTATTTAAAAATATAAAATTTGTCATATTCTAATTAAAATTATCGTTTGCTACATGATCATCACAATATAATAAATTTTAAATAAAAAAAGAGTAAAATTTGTATCTTTATTTAAAAATAAAATTTTATTACTTGGTTTGAAATTTCAAAAAATTCATATTCTTAAATGAAAAAAAATAAAAGATTTCATTTTTTTTTTTATGCTAATTCTCTAGTATTCAAAAATTGAATTGAGTTTCGACTAATTTAGGATTAAATCGGATCGAAACTCTTCTAACACCTATTTCTCTTTTTACAAAATTCAAAACTCAAGATTTTATTTTTAAAAATAAATTTTTTTCATTTAAACCAACAAATCATCTATAAATATTTCATATTTTACATGCACAGTTTCTCTCAAAGATAGCGTTGTTACTTTTTATACATATGTACAGTAAATGAATCTTGCTTTTTCTTTTGAAAAATTGTTCTATTAATTCTATAAAATATATAATAAATAATTAATTACTTTTTTTCCCTTTAAATTTCAACCACACACATTGAATCTATCTAATACTTACACAAAAAAATAATAAAAATATCTTATGTTTTATAATTTACTTCCGTAACGTACTAAAAAAAAGAGTGTGAGTTATATAATATTGTGAAGACATTATTAAAAGTACCTTTATGCTTCATATTAATACAAATTTTTTAATTGATAAAAAAAAGAGTGGGATAACAAAAAAAAAAAGGTGTGATATAGTGAAGATATTGTTATTTTCTTTAAAGATAATAATGATCAAGTTCCTCCAGAAACTACTACAGTTATTTCTAACTTTATCTTATTTTTTTTATAATTTGGTTTAATCATACGATGGATCATATGGAACAATTTAAAATATCAAAGAACCATTATCCTCAAAAGTTGAATAAGCTTCAACTCCTCACACTTAATTAAATAATACCCTCCTTTTTTTGGAGGAGTAAGTTGAAATTTAAAAAGATGTGATTTTTATGGGATTTTTTTTTTTTATCGTGCAATCTTTTCAATTGGACCCTTATAGGTACCATTCATTGTTGTGTAAACCAGCCTTTAATAATAAAAAATGCTCTCCATCTTTGTGCTAACAAACTCAATCTTATCCCCTGTTGTCGCCGTTCCCAAACCATCACTTCACCGGCCTTAAATCATCTTCTAAAACAAGTGATAGCGAACAACGGTGAGTATTCTCCTTTTTTATCAAACAATGAAGGGAAATCTTCCGAGAACAAGTCTTGACTTCTTGTCTATCATTAATTAAGCCCATATATTTTTTCTCAAAATTTTGACTTGTATTGAATCAAGTCTATTTTAATCGTCACGTTTTGTTTTGTTTTGTTTTTTTTTTTTGATGGTATTCTTTATTAAAATTTCTTTTTTTTGGTTTGGATTATTTAGTGTCCAAAAGTTTATTAGGTCACTGATTAATTTGGATTTGAACAGGACAGAACCCAACGAGCGGTAAAACTCTCTTTCACGAGTTTTAACAAAACTGTATTATCAGGATTTAAAATCAAGATTTTTGATTAAACTGAAAGAATCATTTACCAAATCATCCACATGTTCACGGGTCATTTTCACCTTTAATAATAAGGAAGTTGGGATATGTTTTTTTAATAATAAAGTAATTATTTAATAGAGATAAAATTGAAAAAAAAAAGACTTTAAATAAATAAAACTTATTTTTTAAAAACGTGACAAATAAATAAACTTGAGGTAAATCTTATCTAAAGTGGACAATAAAAAACATGTATTTTATGCAATTATTATTCTGTTTGAAAATGTAATAAACATTATTTATTTCTTTTTTTCAATGATGACATGATAGATTTTGAGAATGTAAAATAAAAAAAAAAAATTGAGCATATTACATATCACACATGATATGTTTCAATAAACTATCATGTCCAAGTGCGAGGGTCCACATTAGTATTGGACAAGTGATCATGTGCATATCTGACCCTTTGCCACCCCGCTTTGGATGGATTTTGCAACTCAAGAAATTGAGTGTCTAATGTCGATGGAAAAATTATAAGGGCTCAATTAGCAAATATGCAGACTTTTAAGGGCATATTAAGAGGACCCGTAAGGGATATTTTAGCCATTTCGCAATTCATATGTCCTTCATTGCAAAAAATCCAAAAGCCGTCCAAGACCACAACTGCCTTTGACAGCAGTACCCCAGATAACGACAGAAAATAGAGGACGTAAACTTCACGCGCCTTCCTCCGCAAATGTCCTCACGTGCTCAAAATTCACGGCTGTCGTTGCGGAAACTATGCGCGTGAATCACACGCTCTTTCCGACAACTTGGACCAACAGCACGAATATCTAGGGCAAGTGTTTGGTCGCCGCCAAAGATATCTCAATTTTTTTTTTTTACAAAAATATTCTGATTAAAAACCAATATTTAAATCCCTCGCCACGCCATCTCCAAATCTTAAGTGTTATTCCGACGTCGAAAGCAGAGGAAGCCAAAAAAATCGCCTCTGCAATTCCTCCATTCTTGATTCTGCTTCCAGAATGTGAAGCAGTGGATTTTCTCGGCCCGTGCCGTGTTTTGAACGGAAATTCTCAAGGTTGTTCATTGCTTTGCTTTCTGATGTTTCCTTCAGTTTCTTCACTGGACCGTTTCTTTTATTTTATTTTTTTTTTTTGAGGGTGTTCTTCTGATTTCTTCCTCCTATATTTGTTTTTGTCGGACAATTCGCAGGTTTCCTTCAAGATTCAGTCGCCATTTCTTTCGCACCAGACAATTCGGTGAATCATCCTCTCTCTTTTTATCGGAATTTTATGCTGTTCACTTTAGTTCTAGTTTGTGTCTGCATAATTGAAGATAAGCAGGAGATAAAGTTCGTTCTTTTATCTGGATGTTGCACTTGCACGCCTTCTGTTCGATTAAATGAGAGAAAGAAACAATGATTTTCATTTTTGCTTAGTCTCTGTCTGAAGCAGTAAAATCACGTGTTAACTTTTATGGGATTTGTGGCTCTGATTAGGAAATTGGATTAGATTGTAGTAATTTATCAGCTTCTATGGCAATCATCTGTGATGACTTGGGATAATTATGTGAGGAAGATGTCCTTGGGAAAACAGTAATGGAACCAAGCTCTTCATGTCCTTTCAAAGTCATTATTTTGTCTCCATGTTCTTAGTTCCATGCCCAGATTGATTACTTTGGTACCAGTGGTAGTCTTTGTTTCCTGGGTCCCACAGTAATCAATCGTAGACACAAGTTTTGGAGTTATTAGGCTGCCATTTTAAGTTTAATTATGATTATCACATCCAGTTAAACTTGTATAATAACCTCTAGTCATGCTGGGATACAAGGGAAATGTTTTTTCCTGCAAAAACTTTCCTTTCTACCCTTTTTTTGAAACATTTGGATATTATGATGGTGCTTTGAATTCATTTTTACAAGAGTTGGATGTATTTCGCCTGCTAATCCTGAGTTCAGTCTGCTGTGAAACAGAAAGTGGCATCTGGTTGAGTAGGAAGTGTCCTTTTCCTGTAAATGGCTAGAGTTTGTTGGCCATACTTTGACCCTGAGTATGAGAACTTGAGCGTCAGAATCAATCCGCCAAGGTTATATTCCTTTTTCTACACTAATTCACTCAGAAGTTAAGAATTCTGGTGCTAATTGAATTTAATTTGATGCAATTATTATAGTCCATAAAATTTGTAGTTTCCTAAAATATAAAGATTGACTAATTTTTTGTTCACTATTCTGATATTATGAATTTTTTGATGCAAGATCCCAAGTAATGGCGTTGAAAGAACTTGAGAGAACTTAGTAATCTCACATTCTTAGCTTTCTGTTTCTCGCTACTTCTCTTTCTGCAGGGTGTCTGTGGACAATACTAGCTACAGAGACTGTACTCTTATCAAGGTAAATCATATGCATATTAAAGCAGTACAAGTACCTTTTTCTGGCCTCTGAAGTTGCACTAGTGGCACCTGTGCTTGGTGGTGCCAATAGCTAATCATTTTGTTTGTGTAGGTTGACAGTGTCAATAAACCTGGAATACTGCTGGAAGTTGTGCAAATACTCTCAGACCTGGATCTAATTATTACCAAGGCTTACATTTCTTCTGATGGCGGATGGTTCATGGATGGTATGGTATATCAAGATTCTCCTTGATGGTTAGGCTTTTGGGTTTGGTGCCCTTATGATGCTTGATGTAAGTTTAACCAATAAAAAAATCCGTGTTCAATTATGACACATGCTGGCCAAAAAAAAAAAGCCACTACGCATCCTCAGCTTTTTACTCAACACATAAGTCTCAGCATCTGTATTAATGCATCCGGTCATCGCAGGGCACCATCCTAATAGCCTTCCCCTTCTCTCTCTCTCTCTCTCTCTCTCTCTCTCTCTATATATATATATATATATGTATATATATATTAGTGACTGAACTTTTATTTTTTGAATGATAGTATTTCACGTCACTGATCAACATGGGAAAAAGATTACAGATGGTAAAACCATTGATTACATAGAGAAGGTACACCCTCCTCCCCGGTCCCAATGCGCATGCTCACACACACACACATGCCTGTAACTTATCTGTTTTCCTTTGCTCCAATTGCCAATAAAATGGAAGAGAGAAGAGACTCAGCTAGTGAACTTAAGTTTTTCAGATTGGCTTCATCATATTCACATCATGGATGCACACAGACATATATCTGAAATAGGATTTTTTTTTTTTTTTAAAAAAAAAATAGTAGAACAAATTCCAGAATCTTTTGCCAAAGATGTATCTATCATATATTCACAATCCCTCCATGTGCTCTCCTTATCTGCCATAGTATATCTATCATACTAATAAGATCACTCTCTTGTCATAATGTTACTTGGCACGTTAGTCCACCCATGTGAAAAGGGTCACCACGGTTTCTTTATTTAAGTGTTTCTTCTTATTCCTTGTCATGTGTTCTATAGGAAAATACAAAGATGCCTTTATTGTTCCATTGGAAATATATAGCAGGTATTCGTTGTCATAAAGGAAGGCCCTCCCCTGTGAATATTCTTTTTGGTGCTAAATAGAAAGCAAGAAGTGTGCAGTTATTCTCAATATGATCATAGATAGCAGTTCTTCATTATACACTTTTTCTTACAATATAGGCTCTAGGACCCAAGGGCCATACCACAAATGGGGTGAATAATTGGCCTGGTAAAAGGGTTGGGGTGCATTCTCTTGGTGATTACACAGCAATTGAGCTCATTGGAAGGGACAGACCTGGTCTCTTATCTGAGATCTCTGCCATCCTCACCAATCTCCACTTCAACGTGGTTGCTGCCGAAGTATGGACCCACAATAGAAGAATAGCTTGTGTTGTCTATGTTAATGATGATATTACATGCCGTGCTGTAGATGACCCAACCAGATTGTCTATTATGGAGGAACAACTCAAGAACATACTACGTGGGTGTGAGGATGATGAGCAAGTGGTTCGAACCAGTTTCTCCATGGGATTCACTCATGTTGATCGGCGGCTTCACCAAATGCTGTTTGCTGATAGAGATTATGAAGGTAGTGGATTGACAACTGAAGTTGACCATCCTACATCCTTCAAACCCAAGATCACAGTCGAGCATTGTGAGGACAAGGACTACTCAGTTGTTAATGTCAGATGCAAAGATCGAGCGAAGCTGATGTTTGACATTGTCTGCACGCTCACAGACATGCAATATGTTGTTTTTCACGCCGCCATTTCATCGGATGGCCCCTATGCATCACAGGTATTTGCATCATGTATGGTGGCATCTGAAAAAATACACTAGTAGAAGCACTTTCCTTTTTATAGTGAAAATATTTTCCACTCTCATGATAATGTGCTCTACATCGTGGATGGCTCCATGTCACTTGTTATGCCACAAAAACCAGACTACAGTGAGAGATAATGTAGATGGTGACATTTGTCACTAACATGCAGCACATTTTAGAAATACACATTAGTTCTATGGTTGAATTGGTTTCTTAACTTCTGATTGATCAGTCTGTTAATTAGATCAGAATCAATTTAAGATTATTAAAGGGTTAAGGAGTCTAATGAGATTTCTGTAAAATGATCTGGTCATAACAATTTAGATGACAAACTTATCGAAGCATTTTTCAAGTATTCTGGCCTTTGAAACAATTCTGCTTTTTGTTTCTGCAGCACTCAGATGTCCATTCAAGGTTCTCAGTAATGACTTAAGTTGTCTCTCATCACTCTGTTGCCCTTAAACTATGTATTGGAATTGTTGTATATTTATGCATAAATTGCCTAGTGCGTTTTAGTCTACTGACCTCAACCTAAATGATTAAACTTGTAGGAGTATTATATTCGCCATATGGATGGCTGTACCCTAGATACTGCTGGAGAAAAAGAAAGGGTCATCAAATGTCTGGAAGCTGCAATTCAAAGAAGAGTAAGTGAGGTGAGTAATGTCTAGCCAAACTACATTGATCTTATTTACCTTTGATGTTTCATATCATCCTTCGGTAAATTCAGTAAGTTTAGCAAAATCCTGCAAGAAATATTTAGTGGACTTAACCATGAATTTAGGGTCTAAGTCTGGAGCTCTGTGCAAAGGACAGAGTTGGATTGCTGTCTGAAGTGACGAGGATTTTGAGAGAGAATGGATTGGCAGTCACAAGAGCAGGTGTTACAACAATCGGGGAGAAAGCAGTAAATGTCTTCTACGTGAGAGACGCTTCTGGGAATGCAGTAGATATGAAGACTATTGAGGCACTCCGTAAAGAAATAGGACACACAATGATGCTTAAAGTCAAGAAAGATCCTGCCAGTGCCAAAGCACCTGAGACCAGTGGATGGGCTAAAACAAACTTCTTCTTTGGAAACTTGTTGGAGAAGTTCTTAGCTTAGAAAACATGTGCATATATGGTTGTGACTGAAACTCTGGTGTGTATAGAATAAACAAAGCTTTCTCATAACAAACATGGTAACTAGGGAAGCTTGTTATCTCTGGAGTCTCTGTAAAACATGATGTGTGAAGACTATGAAAAGCTTGAACTTTGTTTCTCTAACTTAATTGTGCTTTGTCTCCTCAACATATGACATGGGAAATTGATTGGCCTTCACATGGAGACTTGATAGAACAGCTGACAAAGACAGGCTAATGCGTAGAGAGCTTGTGGACAATGAAATGCAGAATAACAAACAGGGTATGCATAAATGAACATCAGTTTTGAGACAGTATCAAGGCATCCAACCCAAAACGATGAAATGTATGCTGCTAAACCAAAAGAAAAAAACACTATGAAATGTAACTGGCCATCAAGAAATTTGGAATACGAAGTTCGATTTCTGTTTTTTCCCTCTAGAAAATAAGTCTAGATTTATTAATCAAGCAGAAGTTCTGTAAACATCCTTAAAAAGGAAAAAGGGAGTTCTATAATCAGGGTTGTTCTTATAATAGAATAAGAAAGAAATAACCATGAAATGCCTACAAACAATTACAAAAAGTAGAGAACTTTGCTTCATGGAACGAAAGGAAACACATTTTTGTTCATTTATTTTTGACAAAAGTAAAATTATTCAAGGATGTTTATACCAGAGTCTGGGATGAGTAATGCAACTTTGATGCCAATCTGCATCTTAATTCTACCTGGCTTGGAACTATTGTATGCTGTCACTGGCTTGATCTTTCCACCAAAGGTGCAAGAGAACTGTTTCAGCTAAAAAGCACCTTGAACAAACTAAATCAAATAGCATGTGCAAACACTTCGTAATTATCATCCTCACCAACTTATTAGTAGATTGTGCAGCAGGAGATGAAAGTGTCATCCCAAACTCCTGAGGATTTGAAAAGATAAATGATCAGTCAGCAGGTAGGATACAGATGACTTATTCTGTCTTCTATACAACTCTTACCTTCACTTTGTCAACGTCTGTAGAGTATTACTTAAATGATTGTCCCGTCTTTTATTTCAGAATTTTTCAACACTACAGTAATTCCTGATCGGATGTAGAACCCTTCAGATGGTCTATCTGCCTCTTCCACATTCTGTAAGTCCAAGTAACAAAGGATTTGTGTAGCTATGTCATAATGGTAATGCTACCTTTTTAGCACAGTGCTTCCCTATCTCCCAACCAGAGAGAGAGAGAAAAATAATGAAAGAAAGAGAGAGATTCAACTCTTTTTCCCTGTTATATAAGAAGGCAGTAGAATAATAACTAACTTACATCCTTGTTTGCAATGATCACATTCTTTCCAATTTTTGCATTCTTGTCAATTATGCAATTCCTGAAGGGTAGAGAGTTAGTTAAATGCACTTGATGACTAAGGGATTAGATATCAGATATCACAGTTCACTCCCTACTTGTTTGATTGAACTTACATGATTTTGGTATCTCTACCAACACCTAGTGGAACTTTTCCCTCTGCTAAAAAGGATGCTATCTCTGCCTCAGTTTGGTAATTGTCAGCACCCAACATCAAAGTATCCTGCAGAATCAATGAAATCTATAATCTCCAAGTACCTTCATATTTCGGAATCAAAGTATCCTGCGGTTTAATACTATACACTAATTTTATGCTATTCTAATCATGCTTGTGCTTTAGATTAATTAGAAAGGAAGCCAGGAATATTACCTTCAGCTCAACTCCATACTCCAGTCTTGAGCGGATCCCTACAATAGAGTGCTCAACACTGCATTCCCTCAAAAAGCAGCCATCAGAAATGATGGAATCTACGACCTACAGTTTAGCAGTAGTAACTAGAAGAAATCAATTTTGCACTAATGTAACCATAATATCAAATTCACATAACCAATAAGGCTTAGAATTGTACACGGCACTTCTCTATTTTTGTTGGTGGTAGAAACCGGGGAGAAGTGAAGATTGGCTTCTGTGGATCATAGAACTGAAACTTGGGAGGCTTTAAAGAGAGAAGAATATGAGTCACAGCTAATTAGTCCATATGGAATGTAAAGTCTAGATAGCAGAGTAACTTAAAAGAGAAACTACCTGATCAACAAGAGCTAAATTTGCATCAAAGAATGATCTTATAGTCCCAATATCTTCCCAGTAGTCATTAAATAAATATGCCTGCCATGGAGCAAAGAAGCAGGACACTCCTTAAAGACTTTATTAGAAACAATAGAGAATGGGAACTATCAAGTGGAAGTCCCAGGTTATCTATTTCATGGTCTACCTTAACATTGTAATCTTTCAAAGCCAGTGGAAGTATTTCAGATCCAAAATCATTGGCTGTTGGATATTGCCACCTAAAGATGCAAAAGCGTAAAAGAAAAAGAAATATTATTTCTCATTGTTGTATATACACTGAACTATTGCATCTTTGAAATTCAACAATCAAAACATGGGATATCACAATAAGATGGACTTAGTATTTTTTCTTTTAGTTGAGCAAAACAGATTACTCGAGGCTGTTTACAGGACTTCGTTTTCATCTTGAGCTAAAATTACCTCAGTAGTTTGAGTAGAACATCTGTCTTGAACAAGTAAACACCCATTGATGCAATATATTGATGTTTGGCAGCATCTTCAGGAGTTAATCCTAAAACAGTTGTATCCACTTTCTGTGACAACAAATTTGATCCTCTAAGAGCTAGTCTCAACTGATGATAAATTTTCCATCAGGAGAAGAAAGGGAAGAGTACCAACCATCGATTTCAAACTTTCACCCTTTGGCTTCTCAAGAAACTGCCTAATTTGCCCAGTTGCATCAGTTTTTAGCAATCCAAAGTCAGAAGCACGACTGCAGTAAAGAAAGAAGTTTCTTTAATGTTGCTTCTGCTGCTGATCCCAACTAAGAATTCATACAGGCACAATATCATGTTAAGTAAAAAGAACTGAACTATTAAAAGAAGTATTCACCTTTCGTCCACAGGGAGACAAGAAACAGATATATCAGCACTTGAATCAATGTGTTTCTGCAGTAGAGATCTGGCTTTTAGAAAAGCAATAAAGTGAGCAAACTAAATAAATTTTTATTAGCCTAATTCAACCTGCAAAAAGTCCATGTAGTCCATTCGATAGAGATGGTCACCAGATAATATCAGGATGTTCTCTAACTGTCTATGTTTGGCATCCTACAAAAGTTACACAGACGTATCAATCAAAGTTGAAAACAAAGGTTCGTGTAGATATTGCCTGGGCTGGTTGGATAAGAATACTACTTTTGACACATATTCTTATGCTATTGATATTCCTGTTCAGCAGCAAATACAGATGAATAATGAAGCAAGGGAAACTGGAGATAGAATAAAAAGAAGCAACATTTTTATACCTCAAACAACCAGACGAACTGTCTGACAGCATCTGCTGTACCCTGAAACCATCTATTTCCAAATTCACCAGGTGTTTGGGTAGCTGCCAATACCTAGGAAAAGAGGGGTAAAATTATGATCACAGATAACCGAATTGTAGTAAATAGAACTAAGTGATGCCAGAATCCCTGCAGAAGGTCACAGGTAAAGCTCAAAGATAAACAATTTTTTTCCATAATCCTTTTTCACTATCCAACAGTTAACGTGCAGTCTCATGGTATGGAGCTTTGTTACTTTAGAGAGAAAAAAAATGCTCATCAAAGTGTCATGAGTCCCTTTTCCGCTAACACTACCAAAGCAGTTATTCTCTTTGGGTGATGTAACTTACAGAGATAGATGTTACAAAGTATTTGTCCAAGGGTCCTTTTAAGGGAAATATTTGAAATTCAGTGCATTCAACATACCTCAACATAGCCATCACCAAAATTGACATTATTTCCAAAATTATATGTCCGAGCAATGTGGCGGTTGAGAGATTGAGAATTAAACTGTGTGAGGATGTAAATCTTGTTAATCCCGCTATTGATGCAATTACTCATGGGCACATCTATCAGCCTATAACATCCCCCTATCGGTACCTAACATAACACATGAGAGAATGAAAGAAATCAACTGTTAGAGTTATTGGAGGATCAATTTCTATTCATAGAGAATCTAACAATTCAAATTAGCTTACAGCTGGTTTAGCCCTTCTGTTAGTAAGTGGAAAAAGCCGAGTTCCAGCTCCACCACCTAATATGATAGAGGCAACAGTTTTGGGGTCTGCCTCTGGTTGTGGCAAAATATGCGCCCTGAAAGTCTGTAATGCAATTTCATATATAGTTGGAGTTAAAGTAGAATTCAGGAATCATTTCAATAATAACAATTAAGGAAACATATCATGTAAAAGAAATGAAGAAACTGTCTGCATGAAAGTTAAATCTTCAGAGGACAAAATCATCCAACAACACAAACAAGAAATCTGTAAGAAACATATATGTACAGGAGAAGAAGTTAGCAGTTACCATGAAATCCTTGTTAACATCAGCAAGAACAGAAGAAGCAGAGAACCGTTCCAATTTTCTCCTTGGGAAGTTGATGTTTCCCAACTGAATTCTAGATATGGCAGTTTTTGATTGGCCATTTCCAAGTGCATTGCCAAAGAAGGAAGATGAAAGAAGGGTTTCCTGGAAGGATGATGGTGGAGCACAAGAGGGTAGCATTTTTACAGAACTAATCAAAAATAGTTTTCTTCTTCTTCTTCTTCTTCTTCCAAGAATGAATGCAGAGTCCAAGAAGCAGCCTTTCTTGTCAACTTCTCTGCTATATTGATGTTTATACAACAAAAACAGGAAAACTGATCAAACTAAATGGGATTTAAATCCACATTTTTCCATTCCTAAGCAAAAACAACCATTCCATGCAAATAAAAAACAAAAAAATAGAAATGAAGAACCAAATGCAAAATTTATGCTTAAGTTGCCTCAAAATGGGGCAAGGAATGGTTGAATGTAACACCAATACTGTAACACCACCGACTTTTCCACATAAAATCTCAAATCGCCTTTTTTTTTTCGTGGAAGCAGAGTTAAGTTTTGGAGATTCTAGATTAACTTGCAATGCAATACTACAACAGAACTAAAGGGCTTTTAACATTTTAATTGTTACATTTAAGATGGACAGTGTTTTCCTTTGTTGAAAAAACCGAGAGCAGGTGCAGCACTGTATGCACACAAACATAATGCACCATCATCAAATTTAGAGAAGGAGAAGAGGACAAAAAAAAAAAGAAAAAAAAAAAAAGGGAAGATACGGACCAAATAATGGTTGATTAAGCTGCTGCATTTACTAAGAATGAGAGCATTCAGAGAGGCGAGTTGAGTTTTGAAGGAAAATAGGACAAAGAAAGCTGATGAATGGGTGTATTTTTTTTTTTTTTTCTCATCTCTGATTGGGTGGGGGAAATGGCTGACCTCACCGGAGTGACTAGGTCTTATTAGAGAGAAGAAGAATCAGCAGCGGTGGCGCAAATCTCTGTTTTGATCACTCAGTCTGATGCGCTTCCCTAACGGTCCTGAATTTCCGCCGCCAAATACTTCTTCGTCAAAATATACTACTTTTTTTTTCTTTTTTTTTTTTTTTTGGTCTAATTTCCACCTAAAGAAGACCATTTTCGATAATAAGCGGAGTAATAAATAACTCCAAGTTTGCGGACGTTCTCGTACTTTAGTAGACGCATCTCCGTTATAACGTTTAAAAAAAAAAATTAATAACTCTAAATACCATTTTTTTCTCTTTTTTAAAATAAAGAAAAACAAGGGAAAATTTTGAAATTTCAATCACACCTCTTTCTTAAATTCAAGATTAAATTATTTAATACGTAAATATTATCTTACAATTCAGATTTAATTAATTTTTTTTAATACACTATCATTTAAGAATGAATTAGTCAGTTTGAAAACATTTTAAACATAAATATCAAAATAAAAGTTAAAAATCCCACCCACTCTTCGAGCAATAAACTCACGATCAGACATTTCGAATTCAATTCCCAGATATCAAATTCTTGTGCTTTGCTTCTGAATTAAGGGTCCAGGGTTATTATTTAAGAACTTAATTTGTTTTAAGTTTGGTCGGACTCTTTTTTTTTTTATATTAATCTCTTCATATCCAATAATCATATTAGATCTTGATTAAAATTCAGAATCAAACCGCATCAAACCTCACTAAGGGAGAAACTCTTCCAGCACATGTTTCTCTATTTACAAAACTCAAACTCAAGACAAGGAGAACCGAACTTCTTCCATTCGAACTAACATATTATTAGTTTTAGTTGGACTCATTACTGGGAACATGACATACACGGTCTTAAGGACCAAACAAGGAATTGAATAAAAAAATATGTAGTTCCATAGCAGAGCGAGAAAAAGGTAGAGGGTTTGTATATCAGAAAAGGAAACGAGATCCTACTTTTGCCATCTTTGAGTTTCTTGGGTTATCCTACAATTATCTAGTGTATAGATCGCTTTCTCCTACTGCACTTCAAACTGAAACTAAATCACGGTGGGATTCAACCTTTTTCTAAAACTTTTAGCCAACTCACCCCCCAAGTCCCCGAAACACCACAAAAGAATCCAATTCTACACAAGTACCGTCAAGAAATGACTGACCCACTTGACACAGATTGACTATGCAAGCATTGGCAGGGGTGGGGAGAGAGACTACTATACTAATGGGGAAAACAACAACAGGCACCAACAGCTATATAAAGATACATCACAATATGATCAGATTATTTATCGATTCTGAGGTTATTACAGAGATGTCCGAGTTCAGGCCTTGCGTCTACCCATGATGCGAAGTTTTGCTTGGCCGGAGACGTGCGGTATAGGTATGACCTGAATGTGATAAGGAAAAAGTAGCGCCTGCAAAAGAAGAAAGAAGATAAATCTAGGCAGCATGGAATTTTATTTAGTAATAACCAATCGGAGGACCATGAATTTGGATTAGATCCCCATCTACTAAACATGGAGGAACAAAATGAAAAATATATTGGTTATAAGCCCTACAGTGAAGACCGTAAACGAATTCAGTTGCAAGAACTAACCTTAAAGCTTTGATGCCCATGTCTATAGCGTATGCTCGCCGCTCATCATCATCAGGAACCTTCTCAAGTTCCTTACTGTAGTGAAGTATATCTTCTCGTAAATGCCCTGCCCCTGCACACCTTTAAAAGCCATATAGAGAAACTCAGCATCACCTTCACCCACCGCTAGCAGGTTAAATTATTTTGGAAACATAAACCAACAGCCCAAATCTCAAAAATATTAAAATGAAACAAAAAGCTATATGCTTAAAGGGGAAACAAGAAATAGAGGGGAAAAAAAAAAGGTACATTCCCTTGGTTGCATAAAAGAACTTGTCATATATGGTATTATGCTTGCTTCTTGGAAGAATGTAAGTTTCAAGAAGGAAAATGAAAAGAAGAAATACCTTTCTATAACAACGTCAACCTCAGCTTTGCTTTTGGGACCATCCATGAGAACTCTTGTAAGGCTTAGTATGTCACGATAATCGCCCATTCTGAGTGCTTCCTCATCAGAAGCTCGGGATGGCAAATTTTCGTCATCTGTAGATGTTAGATGTGTATCAACCGATGGTTGAGGAGTCTTCAATAATGTTGAGTTTGCCTCTGCATCAAGTCTGCAACAGATAATTGCCATTGCATACGAAACTCCTCCAAACCCAGTGTGTGACACAAAAAGGTAAGACCCTGCAGAGCTATAGAAATCATCATTTTAGTTACATGACACTGATTTACTCCAAGAGAAACAATCAATGATATTACTAAACAAATTTGGAGGAATAAGTTCTGACTGTTGGTGTACCTCTACAAATGCGTGCAAAATGTACATGTGTCATGCAGGCAATTGTAACCAGATGCAATAGAAACTTTGTAGATGTCACCTTGTGAAAATGACAGTTAAATATGCAGTCTGGGTTTTGATTCTTACTTTTCTTTGCAGTACTGGATTGCATCAACATCAGAAGCAAAAGCCTCCCTCTCTCGAGTTAAGGGTATTCTCCAATATGTTATGTTATAACCCTCATCTTTCAGAGCAGCATATACTTCGGCAGATGTCTTCACATCATCTGCAAAGATGTTTTCCCAATATCCTACGACACTGGACTGATTTGACACTGGGTTATATTCTTCACGATGTAAAAGCATCCGACCGCCAGATCGTTTCACTTCAGATAAGATATCTTCCTTCAACCGTGACTCCAAATGTTCCACCTGTATGGTTACAAAAGGGAAGATTGCAAAAGTATTAGGCTTAATGAGTAGTTCAGTAGATAACAAACCACATTGATGAGGATGATGACATACCACCGGACCAGTAATTCCCACATGCTTGAGTGTATCAACGGGCTTATTTAACTCTCTCAGAACAAATGGTGTGCCATTTATGTAGACAACTGCTTCTTCTCTAATATCAGTGACTACCACTTTCTGACCAACTGATCCTCCAGCTTTGGGCTTGGCATCTAAATATGAAAGCATCTCTTTAGCTCCAGAAATTGTTGGAGTAGCCATGCTATACACAGGATACCCTTCCACCTAAAATAAACAGATTCTCAAACATATAAGACCCTGCCAATCCCTCCAAAAAGTAATTAACCTAAGACTTCTACCTCCAAGACAAATTAATAAATTCTATACCATAATATCAAAAAAGGTACTTTGGTGACACATTTTAACAAGATTAAGCCACATGCATATTTCAGAGCCCAATGTCGAGCTCTAATCTTTAGCTGCTGAGGCATGAACACTTCACATGGTTCAGTAAACTGGAAGTTCTTGCTTTTAAATATCACATTTCAACCAGGAAATAAGTACCTTGAAAACATGTGGTGCACCATGAATTTGAATGTGGCTGGAAGTTCGCTGACCAGGAAAGAAATACATTTTAAGTATAGAGCCTTTCCCCAAAACAGAACCATTACGGGCAGTTACAATGGCTTCCATTACTGCATCTCCGTGCTGGGATTCCTGTGGTGTTCTCAATTCTTCCTGCATTCCATAGTTGAAGTTAGGTTATTCTAGCATATCAATGGCAAAATATAAACATATGGAAATGTGACAAACCATGAAGGAAAAATTTTTCTAAGCAATCATGTCAGATATGTAGAGAAGAAGATTTACAGGAACAGTGAAAAATCGCCCAGGCCTTAGTCTTATGCTCCGTTTCATTCCTTGGACCTCTGGCCTCTGATTCAACCAGCTCTTATATGTCATCCTGGATTCTCCTTGTCCACAGAATCCATCAAAAGCTTCACTTCCAAGATATGCTGCAAAAGCAATTAAACGGAAGTAACGCTCCAGGTACTCAGCTCCACGATTTAGTGCCAGTCTCCTCACCCTTGGCTCAGCATCTTGTTGATTGAATACCTTCCTGTAGTCCAGAACAGCTTGTCGTATGTTCTGCAGTGCAGAGCATCTATCAATAATTGCATCCAAGGCCTCACGACACTCCACACCATTGTCAAATAACCTAGTTATCTTCCACAACAATAGTATATCATCAATGCCAAATGCATGACCTTGCTCATTTTCAGTCCCTTCTTTTTCAACAATAGAGGTAGGTGTTGTGACATTGCTTCCATTTTCTTCACCACCTGAGGAGCTTCCGTCCAGCTCTTTATGACGCACATCATCACCAAGGATTTTAATAGGTCTCCCATAATCAATTCTAAGTTTCACAAGGCAAGCAATAACAGTACCAGTGGTTGTCCTCCCTTGACCCATCTGTAGAAAGAAATGGTAAAGAAAAGGTTTGAGATAAATTTGCAAAGACAAGTACAAAGTTAAAGAGCACCTGTGAATTGGAAACAGCTTCATATGAAAAATTTTGACCTGGCAATTGAAGACAAAGGCAGCATCCTTGGAAGCAGAAGTGATATTTAGAGCCAGTGTATCAAAATCAGAACTTTTTGGAGCTTTTCCATCGGTGATGGGCACACGTGCATACTTAATGGGAAAACCATCATCCTCCAAGCACTTGAAAACCTCAAGTGGGGTTTTTACAGAATCAGAGGTCACATGTTCCCAATCATCAAATATTTGCCTATCTTCTATCTCGTGAATGACCATTATAGCACCACCATAACTTTCAGCTTCTCGCAGAATATCTTCCTTTAGTCGAGCTTCCATTTTCTCAACTCTTTCACAATCAATTCCCTGAATACAGACATCATAATTCAAACTTCTGCAACAATTGCAAATCTTTATTTTTTTGCAGAGTGATTTGTGAGTGGGAGGGGGAGAAGAGAGGAAGGGGATCTTCCAGAACAGTTTGCACAAACCATAAGAATATGTTTTTGTTGGATACCAACACTGACATTCTACAAGTCCTCAGTCTGTGTCAACCACACTTAAGCTGTCTTTGTGGTACCATAAACTACACTTTTATTACTACAACTAACATTTTCCAAAAGCTCACTAATTATACAGGAGAACCATCCATACAACTTTTCCTGATGATCATTCTAACATATTTTATACGCACACAATTTACTTCATAATATGTTTATAGCCTGTTACATATCAAATGATGACTGCATAAATGTATTCCTTGACTAAAATGAACCAAAATAATGCAGCTTGCTATAACAAACTTGAACAAAACAGAATATATTTGGGGCACTGCATTTCAGAAAAAGTGAAAACACATAAATGAGACCATAGCTTGTTTATTCAGACATCTATTTTATACTAATGATGAAATTATTATATCTTCTGGCAGCATCATATAGCTATGTCTCTGGAGCAACTAAACTCTGAACTTCTCTATGAGCCTAAATCTCCTCTATATAAATTTCTAATATAAATATAAAAGGAATAAAAATAATTTACCGAGTATTCCAGCATGTTCTTAAAGGGTCGTTCAACCTCACGGAGAACAAATGGCTTTCCATTAATATAGATAACAGGTTCTTCCCTCATGTTGTGCCAAAAAACTGGGCGACCACCTTTGGAGCTGCCAATTCTTTGAATGACAGACCGAATGCCATTGATAGTTGGATTTGCAACTCCATAAACTGGAAATCCAGGAACTTCTCTGAAATTAGGAGCACCTTCCAATCTCTCTGGTAGACTTCTTTGACAACCCGGACAGTGGTCACTTTTTAGAACCGTTTGGCTACCAAGAACCTCTCCATTCCTCAATGCAGCAACTACACCCACCTTATGAGGGTGGCCATCAGCAGATTCTGCAATCTTCTTCACAGATGGTTTCACACTCACATATTCTAGGGCACCCATTGGATCTCTCCTAAGCAATCTGCAAGAACACATAATTATGGAGAAGGAAAAGTATGCCCAATTAGCATGTCCCCCCAAAAAAAGAAAAAGAAAAAAGAAGATGCTCAATTAGCAAACTCATCATTGTCCTTTAAAAAAAAAAAAATTGTCAGAGGGCAGATTAAGCATCATGTTGAGAAAGATATTTTATAGCCACACATTTTTGTGATACGATGGATAAAAGATATGAATTACAATGCAACTCTGAGGTACAGAAAGTTGTGGAAACATTGATAAAAGAGTGGGGTAGGTCCAGGGTAACTTCCTATCATTGGAAAAGAAAAGTTGCAAGCTTTGTCTAGCACAAGATAATGCCAGAGGACTTCAGAAGCTTATTTACGAGCCAGTATGCTACAGAAAGCCACACTGACTCCCCTCTACCCAAAACCCAGTGGATTCTGATCCGAGCACTCATGTAGCAGAAGGGTGGAAAGAACAAATAACCAGCCTTCTATGCATGTATGTCCAGATATTAAAAGAGAGAACTTTTTCAAGTACACATGCTTATTTCCATACCTGCGAATAATGGTGTAAAGCTCTGGCCTCGCTTTCATCCAGTCTGCAAAACCAGTTTGATCAAATGAACTAGAACGAAGGGCTGCTCTCTCCGAATGAACATATACTGCAAAGCATATCAGAAAGTAATATCTCTCCAAGTATTCCACAAAAAATGAAAGCAGTGCTTCCCTTTTCTTCTCATCAGGCTGACGCAGAATATTATTACGATAAGTGGAAATTGCTTCTCGTAAGTTCTGTAGTCCAATAAAAAAATTATTAAGTTCACTAACCTAAAATAAATTTCCAAAAACCTTGCAGGTAAAAGGCACAAATGCTTTAATCAGTGAGGAATAGATTGGCTAGCAGAGATTTCATCAAACAAATTTCCATTTATTGAAGCTTAGAAGCTACACATGTATGTATCAGGAATTGAGAAAACCATACTTGCATGGAGGCACACTTGTCAATAACCTTGTCCACTTGCCTTTTGCCTTCTACACCACCCTAAAGACATGTTACTAATTAATAAGAAAACCAAGAGAATGCTAAAGACTAAACCACAAGGAACCAAAGCTAGCATCAAATACCTCTAGGACCCGGATCAAGCTTCTTATGATGGCATATTCTCCTCTACGAATTGCCTCTTCTGAGTTTGGGAGATGGTCATTGATATTAGAAGCAGAGTCAGAAATTCTCCCAATTGAATTGGTTCTTGGAATTCCTATGTTGAATGGAAAAAATAAAATCAATGACATTAGAACCAGCAATTGTCTAATGCATTTAAGTTCATGTGCCTATGAAGAAATATAATTAAATTGGAAGGTATTTTGTCTAGCATTGACAAATATGAAAACTTTTGAAGTAAATCTAGACAAAGAAGGGGTGTTACATATTGATAGTAATTTTATTTAATTCATTAACCTTGATAGCAGGAATGGCATAAATGATAGAAAAGTAGTTGATTTCATGTTACCACTTACCAGAAGCTCCAATTCGGTTCAGATAAACCAAAGTTGTAATCACCATGCCAGTTGTAGTACGTCCACGTCCCATTTGGCAATTAAAAATCACATCAGTGTTTATGTCAGCTTGAGAAATTCTATTAACCTGAAACCAAGAAGGAAGAAATAGCAGATAAAACATACCACAAAGGCATGCATGCATGCATACATAGGGAAAAACTTACACAAAGTCTTATACATTACTCTCAAACAAAACCCTGAATGTTCATCTCTCCACTATGAATGGCTAAGATTTGTCCACTTTTTATCCTTTTTTTTAGAGATAATTGTCTTTTCATCTAATGTGTCTAGAAACATTAGTTAACATATTCAAAAGACGTGATTAAATTTCATATTAAAGCATTAGTTATGTCTAGAAACTAATGTGCACATTCCTACAAATTTAGCATCACGACAAAAGAAGAACTGAATTTTTAGATTTACCTGAAAAATAAACATAAACCAGGTAGCCTCAAACTAGAAAGCATACATTCACCAGACTTGATAAATTCTATAATGTTCTTAACAAGAATAATCCAAAAAAAAAAAAGAAAAAATTCAATATATCATGTGCCATGCAAATAACCATTCTATAAATTACTCAAATATGAATGTAAACACCAAGAACATGAAACTCACCACAATATCAAAATCTAGCTCCTTTGGTGCTTTTTCATCTGTTATAGGAACACGTTCATAGTCAACAAGGTAGCCTTCTAATTGCAATTCATCATACACCTAGAATAGGGAAACAGAAAAGAACTTAAGTTAATGATTTCAAATTTTCCAGTTGATTATTTTTTTCTAATCTTATACCCCTTACCTCTAATGGTGTCTTGATAGAATCAGAGGATACTGGTTCCCACTGGTCCACCATCTGCCCATCTGGCAGTTCATCAGTGACAAGGATCTTATTTCCATACCTGTTGTCAGATTTCCAAATAAAATTTGCTATCATGCAAGGTGGAACTGCCATTGGTAATGAAATAGTGGAATTTCTCCAAGACACTAATGATCACTAGAGTGTAGAACCAACATACATACCTTGCAGCTTCTATCAGAATATCTTCTTTTAGTCTAGCTTCCATTTGTTCAAGCCTATTTCTGTTGATCCCCTACTTTGATACAATATAAGGTAAAGATCAATTTCACAACAAATATGAAAGGCTCTACAATGCATAATGATGTAAACAGCTACTGGATATCTGCATGGCTTGAGTGCATATATCATATTTAAAGCCCCTAAACTTTCTTAGTCAATCAAACCAGAAACATTCATAAAGAAACAAAAACTAAAAAGTCATACACAGCAATGCTAGAACTTATAAACCAGAAACATTCCTTCTTTAGTGTATATATCATATTTAAAGCCCCTAAACTTTTTTAGTCAATCAGACCAGAAGCATTCATAAAGAAACATAAACTAAAAGTCATACACTGCAAAGCTTGAACTTATAAACCGCATTTAAACCTGCAGTTTTCTTTTCCCAACAGAAAAATACCAATAAGAGATCGACTAAAAACCATACAAATAAACAAAGACCTATAGTCTCAAAATATAGACCGTTGAGGCCCAGAAATGTTTACAGAGTCAGAGATTTAACTGGAGATATTTTGAAACATAAACAGGTATAGTTCGCATTTGTATCCCCAACTTATCCTCCCACAAGGTAAGAACATATGACGTTACAATCCAGCGTTGAGATTGTGGGCCCCTAAAATTCCATCAAGATATACAAGAATGCAATAGTTCATGAATCAAAACTATGATGATAACCCAGACATAACAAATGTAAATTTCCCATAGGGTCACATACCGTATACTCAAGGTTGGAGAAGGGCCTCTCCACATCACGCAAAACAAAGGGACGACCATTAATGTATACCACCTATTCAATCATAAAGAGAAGATATATAAAACTTGTTTTTGAAAGACAATGATTTCGATAAGATATATAAATTGGAAGAAACAAATTGATTAATTTGCAAATTTTTAAAAGTTGGTGTACATAAATTTACCGGCTCCTCTCGAAGATTAAACCAAAGAAATTTTGTTTCCTTCCCATCTCTTTGAGTGCCAACATGGTTAAGGACATTTCGAATTCCAATGATTGTTGGAATTGCAACACCATGAACATGTGACGAGTCCGCCTATTTAATATCAGACGAAAATTGGAAAACAAATGAGTTAAAAGAGTAAAATACAATATGACATAAAACTGTATTATAACATCAAAAAGAATCAGCAATTCAGACAAGCTTGAGCAGCATATGCTATACAAACCACACTAAAGATATAATCTATGAAACAAAAGAAAATTTGATTTAAGACCTGAATATAAAAACTACAAGCCTAGTGCAGAAAAAAAAAAAAATCTACAAAATATTTAAAAATGAAAAACCTAGGGTCCCATAGGCAGGAAGATTATTTTTGATAGCTTTCTGGAGAAAAGCTTAGAAAGTGAAACAATAGATATTCATCATATAATCCCTATCCTTCTAATAAAGCAATATCAGCAATGTGTCTGAAAAATTGCAGGAAGGAATCCAAAAGAAGTAGCTAAACAAACAGGGCTAAGGAGAAGGAAAAAACGAAAAGAAGCATACGCATTGCGTGGAATTCGAACATTTATCAGAGATTAAGCAAGCGAGGATCAAATTCAAAATCGCGGAAGAAACGAGACTGACGAAGGATAGGCGTTACGAACCTGACGGTAATTCGGAGCGCCGTCGATCTGAGGAGTCAAGCGCTTGTTCTGACAGCCAGGGAAATGATCGCTCTTGAGAATGGTCTTCTTTCCGAGCACGGATCCCCCTCTCATCCTCATCACTTGCTCCAACTCCTTCGGTAACGACATGTTTTTCTTCAATTCAAAAAAAAAAAGAAAAACAAAAATAAAAAAACACCTATCACTTTTTTCACAGCTCAAATTCTCCCGCCTGAATTTAGCAGTTACAGCCGGCGCCGGAGAAAAAAAGAAAGGAAAGGAGAGGAAACGCAGAGAAAAGGAAAAAAGAAACTGTACGGTTGGCTTTGGTTTTATATATATCATCAAGAGCTGAGGTGAGAGTGTTGCTGATTGGTGGAAGGCAAAAAGTGTCGAGAAAAATCAGAGTAGATTTGCCGACGGAAGAAATTTGTAAATCTCTGCTGAAAGCAACAGGAACGGCTTGAGACGTGAAAGGAAAAAAAGGCATGAGTTTAGACGGCATTAAATTTAATTTAAATATATATGTTTACGTAAATACTTATATTAAATAAGTTTTTTTTTTTTTTTTTTATTGCCAACCGGGTTTGTGGCCCAATTGGTTGGCCCCAAGCTTTAGGGCTTGGATGGGACGGAGGTGCTCTGCCATCGCCGTGAACTCCACCAACTTGCGATCTAATAGTCGCGCGCCTCAAATGAGGGGTGAAAGTTTCACTTTCCTGAAAAAATTCCAACTGCTAACTAACTAACTCTACTAACTTCCTAACCAACCATCTACCTGGTCGAAAAAAAAAAAAGAAGTTTTTTTTTTAAGAATGGTATTATAGAGATAATTTTTTTATATTAATTTTTTATATAAATTTTATATATTATTAAATAAATAAATATATTTAATATTATAAATTTCATATAAATTAAAAAAATTAATTATTTAAATGATATATTAAAAAATAAAATAAAATAAAATAAAAAAGTTATATAAAAATCTGCTGTGTAAATAGGTGGATATTACCAACGATAGGTTGGATTAAGTGGTAAGTGGCTTGTTTCAGCTTAAGTAAGATATCGAGTTTGAAACCTTGTAAATGCAGCAGCTTTTGTTGAGAGACTCATCCACCATTTTCAGGTGCGCGACGCATGTCGATCCAAATTAATCGAGGAAAAGCCCGTCTATCAGACGGGAAACAAAAAAAAAATAAAATAAATGGATATTATCGGATAAGCGCGTCCGCAGTAGGATATTCTTTATACCAACTGCCCATCACAACTTGCCACGGCGCCACCTAATCTTAGCTTCTCGATACCAGAAAGCCTAGCCTGGCCCAGCCCAGACCAGCCCAACCCGGCCCCCAGGTTTTTCCTCCCTCTTTGACCCACGGGAAGTGAAAAATAAATATGGATTAAGATTAGACTTTATGAATAAATAACCTGTTATTTGAATATAAAGAGTTTTATTATTTTTAAATAAAATTTTAATTTTAAATTTTATAAATAAAAAGATAGATATTAAGA